AAAAAAAAAAAAAAAAAAATTAAAGACAAACCAAGATTCATTTATTGTGAAAACGGGATGCTCTTCATTTACTTAATATATCACGTGTATTAAATTGCAAAAGTCACAGACTAACACTGACCAATAATACCCTAAAAGAGATTGCCACCATATTTAGTGTGTCCCAACTCCCACGGGCACTATAAAAAAAAGAGCAAAAGTTACGTCACTTTACGGAATCATTCCGTTGAGGTTTGTAACCATCAAATATAGTTGATCTAACGGTTACAAACTCCGACGGAATAGTTCCGTAACGAGACCGTAGCATCTTCTTAAAAAATAATACATAGCTGGATGGGAATAAATGGGAAACACGTGTTTTCGTGGTTTCCTTTATGAGCTTTCAAATTTCTTGGTTTTTTCACACCGAACCAATCAATAGCTAGCTAGCAAACGAGAGGCCAAATTCAAAGACATTGATAGTTTTTCATGAGAAACTCAACTGTAAATACATCCAGAAAGAGAATAAAGAACTTTAAAAGTTACTCTATTGGTTTGCTTATAGGATATGCACCAAGTGCTTAAGACTAAGATAACATCAGGAAAAAATCTAGCTCATTACTCTTTTTTTCAATGTTCATAATGTTAACAAGAAGTTAGTTAGATGAAAGCAAAAGTTAAATAAGAATCCAGCTAGTAAAAAGGGCCCCAAACATCTTTACTTAATATAAATCATCCACATCGGCTCCACCGGCAGACGCCGCAAACGGGTCGGGCCCAGAAGATGGCGCACCAGCCGAATCGTCGAAACGGAACTCGGTCCTGAACCCCCGGGACTGATGCAAGGTCTGGCCAAAGGCATGGTACTTGCGTACGTCAGCATTACTCACACTCCTACGGGCAAACTTCATAGACTCCTCAAAATGGGCTGGCTTCATCTCCGAGACCTCATCATCGATGTCTTCATCCATCGTGTCGGGGCTTTCTCTTTTTCTCTTCTCTCGTTCTATGTCCTGAGAAAGAGGAAAATCGAGTTCATAACCAAATTACCACATGCAGCAAAACAAATTAATTATAGACATAAAATACAAAATATAAATAATATCATGTCTAAACAAAATGCAATAAGTATGATGACATTCCAGAAAACGTACCTTCTCAATGGTCTCTCTTATGGCATACTTGCAAGCCCTCTGACAAATCTCAGTAATATCTGCACCACTAAATCCTTGAGTGTACTTGGCAAGAGCTCGCAGGTCGATATCTTTGGAAAGTGGTGACTTTCTGAGGCAGGCCTTGAAAATTTGATGGCGTGAATCTTCATCAGGCAAAGGAATATAAATTAACTGATCCAGACGGCCCGGGCGTAGAAGGGCCGCATCAATAACATCCGGCCTGTTAGTGGCACCAATTATGAAAACGGTCTTTTTGGGATTCATGCCGTCCATTTCGGTCAAGAGTTGGTTCAGAACTCGGTCGGCTGCACCCCCGCCATCTCCAACACTACTTCCCCTCTGTACAGCAATGGAGTCAAGCTCATCAAAGAAGAGCACACAAGGAGCAGACTGTCTGGCCTTGTCGAATATGTCACGAACATTAGCTTCACTCTCTCCAAACCACATGGTGAGCAATTCAGGTCCTTTAACACTGATGAAGTTGGCTTGGCATTCATTAGCAATTGCCTTGGCCAGCAGAGTTTTACCACATCCAGGAGGTCCGTAGAAAAGAACACCCTTCGAAGGTGACATGCCAAATTTCTCAAACTTCTCTGGGTGCTCCACTGGATATTGAACGGTCTACAAAACAGTAAAGTAGTTATCAGTAACCAAATTAAACAAACAGTGCATCGCAAGTAAGCTAGCCGAACCACCAGCAGCCTTATTACCTCCTGCAGCTCCCTTTTGACATTTTCAAGTCCTCCAACATCTTCCCAGATCACGTTAGGCACTTCGACAACCTGTTCACAAGATGAGAATTAATAAAGGACAGCGGAAGAATGATTGTTTAAAGGATTTGTCTATTTGCACATATTTTTTATGCAAATTTCAAATGTAAAAAGTAGGTAACAAAAATCAATTAATAATGAAATAAAGCGCTACTTACTGTCTCCCTCAAAGCAGAAGGATTGCTCGTACCAAGAGCAGTGTGGAAGTGCTCGTTTGTTACAGCCATGGAATTTAGTATCTCAGCATCAATTGAGTCATCTTCCAAATCAATGACATCCATTTTCTCTCTAATACACTGAAGGGCCGCTTCAGTGCAAAGGGCCGCAAGATCAGCACCGACATAACCGTGGGTGTCTTTTGCTATTATCTCTAAGTCAACCTGTTGTAATATTATCACAAAAATTTGATCAAACGAAATTAAACTCATTGAGAGCAGCAAGAAAAAAAAAAAAAGAAAAAGAAAAAGAAAAGTAACCCCTGATGAGATGAGATTTACAGGGCCTTACATCATCAGAAAGCTTCATGTTCTTGGAATGAATACGTAGAACCTCGAGGCGGCCGACTTCATCAGGAACACCAATGTCGATTTCCCGGTCAAACCTACCAAACCTTCTCAGGGCAGGGTCGATGCTGTTGGGACGGTTGGTCGCCCCCATAACAATGACGTGGGCCCGAGATTTCAGCCCATCCATGAGCGTCAGCAGCTGAGAAACAATCCTCCTCTCAACCTCCCCCTGAGTTTTTTCTCTGTTGGGAGCAATAGAATCAATCTCATCAATGAAAATGATGGACGGGGCATTCTTTTCTGCCTCCTCGAACGCCTTTCTTAGATTGCTCTCACTCTCCCCAGCCAACTTGGACATGATTTCAGGACCGTTGATCAAAAAGAAAAAGGCACCCGTCTCGTTTGCAACGGCCCTCGCGATCAACGTCTTTCCAGTACCAGGGGGCCCGTAAAGCAAGATTCCCTTGGGTGGTTTCACGCCTATGGACTTGAAAAGTTGGGGGTGCCTCAGGGGCAGCTCGACCAGTTCCCGGATCTGGGCCATCTGCTTCCTAACCCCGCCCACATCATCATACCCGACCTCATCCAGCCTATCCTCGTCCTCTCTCCTCACGGGATCACCCTCACAAAAGATCTCAGTATCGGGAGCTACAACACAGTATTCGCCAGGGTCAGTCTCAATGACCTTAAACTCCACACTTCTCATGCTTCCCCTCACAAGGAAATGGTCGCCTTTCCTAACTGGGCGGTATGCTTCCAGGAAGTAAGCTGCACAGGAAATATATATAAGAAAAAAAACTCTTACAACTACTAAAGAATGCTTAATTTGTAGGAGCTAAGAAAATAATAATACGTAAGGAGGACTTACGTTTCAAGTATGCATCAAAGAGATTCCCGGTGAGTCCTTCGATTGTGTCATCCAGGGGTAATATGTGAACACGGGTTCCGAATTTGACATCGGGGCACTGGTGTACGGATACAACATCACCAAGACGAACCCTTAGGTTGGCTCGGACGACCTTATTCATTCGAATCTTTGTCTCTTCCAAAGTCTCATCAGCAAAGGCAATGCATACTGTATCCTTTCTTTTGTTCCCCTTGATCAAGATAGTGTCGCCACGGAAAAGGTGGAGCATTTCCATGGTGGCGGGATGGAGGGAGACAGCGGAGTTGTCATCGTAAACTGCATCATCGATAATGAGGCGATTAGCAGCCTTTTTCCTCTCCAGGATCGCTGTCGAGAAGTCCTTCTTTCCACCTTTGCTGCGAGATAGATAGAGAAGAAAAATACATAATAACGTAAGAAAAAGCAAGGAATAGAGAAAATAAGCTTTAGTTTAGTTCGGATATACTCACGAATCAGATGATTTTGCTTTGTGACTCATGCTGCCCTGCCGATGATGATCTTATCTTTCTGTTGTTTCTTGTGCTATGAGAAAGAGCCAAGAAAACCAACGTAAAGTTAAAAAACCAATAATAATATGCCACATCAGTTTTTTAACATGCACCATACGGATAAAGTGTAAGAGTCCGATGAGATATATATATATATAGACTAGACTGGCTTGAGATTGCATTCCTATTCCTTTTCCTTTCCCGATGTTAATTAGGATTCCTAGTATTTTAAAGAAACCATTCAAACTTAAAACCAATAATAATATGCCACATCAGTTTTTTAACATGCACCATACTGATATTTTCTTTAACAAATTTAAAAAAACCAACGTAAAGTTAAAAAAATTCAACACAGTTAAAACAAAATTATTATTAAACCCCACGATATCCATTTACCTTGTGCATAGAATTGAACACAGTCAAAAAATTGAAACATATAATTTATAATTTTAATTTCTATTTTTTTTTTAATTTAAAATGTTGAATATCATTGAAATATGTTTATTAACTAGTCTAAAACACAATACTTGTACCTTATAAATGGCACATTTTAACAAAAGTAAATATTATATATTAAATTTTATAAATTAAAGATTATAATCTGAAAAATACATATCTCACTATGAATAATCACCGAGTTAGTAGATTAATTGTGTAATAGAAAGTTTTATTTTATAATTTGTATATATACATATTTACCTTTTTTTTATAAATGTATTAAAACTAAGAAAATAATTTCAAATCAACATTAAAATTTTAAAGTTTAAATGGTGATGTGTTGTCATAAATATTACTACATAAGTCAAAATATCGATGAATAATAATGCGCGCGCGTCCCGATGTTCTACCCCGCACCCGCGCGCCCTGCCAACCGGTCAACAGCAGTCTAGCGCGCCCCTACGCCAATAGCTGTGGCCCGTCTTGCTAGAACCCCATGCGTCGTTGAGGATGCGCCCAGCGGGTCGACACGTGTACGTGCTCCTAGCAGCAGCACCAGCCTGACCCCGAGCGACCAACCGGGCTGCACCACACAACTCTGTTCACTAGGAACCGCGGTTCAGCCGGACCAGTCCGAGTAAGCCTGGGGGGTTCATAAATTTCCTGTTCGAGTTCCGAGCAAGCCGAAACTTAAGCTATTGTCCGAGAAGAGTCAGTCCACGTTTAAGCCAGATAAATTAGTTTGAGGAATTATGATCAATTAATTAGCTGAAAAATATTAAAATTATTATAACAATTGCTTATGTGGTTTTAAAAAATTTTACTATGACATTAAGATAAATTAATTAATTTATATAACAATCATTCAGTCAAATAAAAATATATAATATTCATTTTAAATTAAATAATTTGAACAAAAAAAATTACAATATATATTTTTATGTTTATATAACTTTCATATATCATTTTAATCTGTCCGCGACACGCCAGCGACCCGCATGGACTATCTGCGACCTGCCCGACCAGCGACCCAAACCTAGGCTAACCGAGTCCAGCCGCGACCCGACCGAATCCTACCACGTCCGACCGGCCCGAACCCGATAAGGCCTTGACCCGGTGATCCGTTCGTGACCCGACAACTCGATTAGGGTCGAGAAATGTCAAGTCCGGCAGTCCATCGGACTCTGGTGTTCAGACGATCTCCATCAACGGAAATCAGAAACGTCTATGAGTCGAAAATCTAATAGTGAAACTTAATGCCAATAAGATTAATTTAATCCTTCTCCCGAGTCGTTGAAATTCCAAAAAAAAATTAGGTTCCACAATTTGAGGGTTCTCAGAAACACGATAGTGGTTCCATCTAAGGATGAAATCGGTCGAAAACGGTCGAAAAGCTCCTCTATTGTTTTCTACTTTTATATTTGAATACGAACGCGGAAGCGGAAACGGTATAGCCGGAAACGAAAACGAAAACGAACTTATGGTATTTCGAAAACGAATCAATTCTAGCGGAATTATGTCGAACACGGCCGGAGTACGAAAATTCAATACGAAATAGCGACCCACGGTGCACAACTTTAAACATGTGAATGACCAAACTAACAAGTGCATGATTTAGTTCAAGTGCACATAATAGTTAACAGGTGCATGACCTAGGGCATTAACTCTTAAGTATCATCATAACTCACAAGTCTAGAACAAGCAATGAAGCAATTAATAGGGCACAAACATCTACAGTTCATCAGCATCATCCATGATGTCAGGATCACTTTCCATGTCCTTTGCTTCCTCATTGTCCTCATCTCTCTCCTTGTTATTTTCCTACAAGTTTGTAAAAGTTATTATAATTGTCCTCAGCACCAATATAAAGTCAAAATTGAATTCTGCATAATAAAAATTTTCACCCAGGTTCTCAGGTCTAGTATTAAAAGATATTAATAGCTCGACATGCTTCTGGAATAACAAAGAAAATAGGTAGAACAATCAAAGGCTAACACTTAGAACATTTTAATTCACTGCAACTTCACAAAAGCATGAGCCAGCATCCTCAATTTCTTTACCACACATATGCTAGGCATAACTAGTGAAGATTACAACAAAGTCCAATACTACCAGAGGAAACAGTCAATAAACATACCTCAATTTTCAGTTTAGCCACAACATTAGTTAAAGCGTCAACCTCAAGATCACTCACAATTGATCCAAGCTTTTTAGAATCTGAAAAAAAATAAGAAAGCAAAAATTCAATGCATTATTCAGCTGCAATTACAAGTATCAAACTAAAAAAGAAAACAAGTAAAATGAGCACTTTTACTTGCTGCAGCAACCCAATCCTTTGTGCAAATTAATGCATGTACCATCTCGGGATCAAGTCGACTGCGATAGGGATCAACAACACGGCCAGCAGCACTAAAAGCATACTCGGATGCTACTGTTGACACTTGTATGGCCATTACATCCCGAACAATTTGTGAAAGGATAGGATACTGCTCTCTCTTGTTTTTCCACCATGCTAAGATGTCAAACTCACCACTAAGTTTCAGTAGTGCTTCTCCAATATACATGTCCAACTCATTTGACTCAACCATATCAGGTTCACTTGCTTCATATAAGAATTCTTCTAAGTCATGGTCTATATTTTCCATTAATATATCAGTTGTGTTACTAGGTCTGGGTGCAGCCTCTTCTCTAGTTTTCTTTGATGATGCAGCAATATTAACATAAAAGTTGTATAGTTTCTTTACCACACTAACAAACTCATCAAGTTCAGCTTGATAATAACCACCATAGAACTTGTTCATGTAGTATTCTATCAGCCTTTTCTTATACCTAGGGTCAAGAAAACAGGCTACAGCTAGAGCAATGTTGGACTGATCCCAATATTTGTCCAATTTTGACTTCATAGAAATTGTCATTTCTCTAATTGTAATATTTTCATCATAGAGCCACTCATCAAGCAAGACCTTGATATCACAGAAACCTCTATAAAATAAGTTTGCAGTAGGGTATGAAGTGCCAGAGAGAATTTCAGTGAGATCATAAAATTTCTTCAAGCAACCATAAATTGTCAATGCATTGTCCCATTCAGCAGAAGATGGAGAAATCTTGGCATACTTACGGCGATCTGAAGACTTCAGCCTAATAAATGCATCCTTGTAGTACAAGGCATCTCGCAGCATTAGGTAGGTAGAGTTCCACCTTGTTAAACATCCATTTGAATACCCCTCTTTATATCCAACCCAGCTTCAGTGGCACACTTCATAAGCTCTTCCCACTGCAATGGAGACCCTTTCACAGCTAATACAAGTGATTTGATCTTGCTGAGTGTTCCTGAAATGACTTTCAACCCATCTCTAGCAACCAAATTCAGAATATGGCATGCACATCTTACATGAAAAAATATCCCATCACAAACTAGGGAACCATTACCATTGTCTTTCAAATATGAAATTATATCATTGACAGCCACTTCATTTGAACTAGCATTATCCAAAGTCAGAGCAAACAGTCTATTTTCAATGTACCATTTAACCATAACTTCAGTGAATGTTTCAGACAACTTTGCACCAGTATGCCTACCTTTTACATTGAAAAAACCAATAATTCTCTTTTGCATATGCCAATTATCATCTATCCAATGAATAGTAACACACATGTACCCTTTGTTTTGGCATGAGGTCCACATATCCATTGTTGCACTAAAGCGGCACTTCATAGTCTTCAAGTATGCATACAAAGTTTCCTTTTCTTCAAGATATCTGTCCATTATTTCTTTCCTAACAGTGACACGGGATTTTATCGGAAAGCTAGGACGGAGAGATTTGATGAAATCAACCAAATACTCATGCTCAACTATATTGAAAGGATATTCATGCATGATTATTGGCAAATTTAATTTCTTCAAGCTAGCTTCTTGGTCAAATCTGTAAGGCTGAACATGAGCAATTTCAGAACCAGGGTTCTTACCAACTTTAAGCTGTTGTTGTCCCTTCACAATACTGTGTTTTGAAAGTAAATGGTGCTTGAATGAAGTTGTGCCATTGATGCCCTCTGCTCTGTATTTCTGCTCACACCTAGAGAAATTGCAGTGTCCCCACAACTCCTCAACTAGCTTTTCTTCCACCTCTACATACTCTTTTTTCTTGGTGAAATAACTCCAGACCCACGATGTCAATTTCTTAAACCTCTTGCCAGAAAGGCGAGCCTGCTCATCATCCTCTTGTTCATCATTGTCGACATTAATTGGCACTTGAACCTGCTCTGTTGCATCACTCTGAACTGATGCTGCCACTGATCCTAGCACTGATGCTACTGTAGCTGGACTTTCACAAGTTCCACTAGATGCAACACTTTGAGATGCTTCCCTTCTACTCCCTGATCCTACCAACAACCAAGTGAAACATTGCTAAATTAGAAAAAAAAAAATCTAAAATAGCCAAATAATCTAGCAAAAAGATACACGGACGACAAATTACCTTAACATCTATTGGTAGGGTGCAGGTTACTAACATAACAGCATGGGATAGGCATGCAAATAGCAACACATACATTAATTTGGAACCTGGTAAGCTCACTTAAAGCAGTCCAAAACTAAAATTAAACTTGTTTAAAATGTATAACTCCAAATACTAGTTTTTTTAGTGTTCCATCCCGTAAGGTCATTTAAAAGCAAATTTAATATGATAATATGCACACCACTTTGAAGTCAAGTAACAGCTGTTACAGTATTGTATTTAGGGTTGAAACTGAATAATAAGCCTTCAATAGAGGAAAACAATTTTAACAATTTAACAATGAGGCAATATGAAGACACACTTTTAAATAGAAGCACTACCAATCCTCCAGATTGAAAGATTATATAGCCGCATTGAGTAAAAAATAACATTCTAATCACAGGTTGTGAGATAACAACTGAACAAGAGTTACACAGTCTCCATATAATACATTAGGGATTCCATTGTTGAACAAAATGAAGCAATTGAATGTAAAAGTGGCATTCTAGAGAAGTTCTCAAAGTACGAAGAACAACCGAATATTTTAATTTGCTCCCTCATGGCCTCACCAATTTCTTAAGACGGTCACTTCTTCGCACAAACTTTGAGATTGCCATGGGTTCATAATACAGAAATAGAAGTTAACCTAACGGTTCCACAGGTTACTTGGACTTCAGCAAATTTTAAGAGAAATAGGAGGAAAAAAAAAGAATCATTTTCAATTTCATATGTATGATTCATGTTTGTACAAGTCACGAAACAATACATTTCAAGCCAATAGATTGTTCATAAACAATACTAACAATACAATTCAAGCCAATAGATTGTTCATAAACAATACTGAATAAGCCTGATGAATTCAGTGGTAAGAAGACGAACCTGCTGTTGGAGACGTCGTTGCTGCCTGTACGGGCGGCGGCTCTAGAAGGCTACGCACACTCTTCATCTTGGGCTTGCTCCCCTTGCCCCCCTTCGTTCCAAGAGCGGAAGCACGATCTCCAGCGGGCGCCATCGACGCGCGGGGTGGGGAGTGACGACCGGTGGCCGGCGGGGTAGGGAATGGCGACCGGCGAGGTGGGGAATGGCAGGCACGGCGCGAGTCTTGGAAGAGAGGAACGGAGAAGGCAAGTGATGGAATACGGGAGTGGAGGTGGGTGTCAAGCACTTAGGGTTGTCAACTTGGGCTGGGCTGTAAGTTGGCTACTGGGCCATGTGTGAATTGTGATGTGAGTCATGAGACCTGTAGGGAATAAGGGAATAATTAACCAAATTCGAAACCTTCCGAATTTTAAATATGGTTACATGCCGAATATAATATAGAAATGTAGAAATCGGTCGAGAAAGGCCCATATCGAATTTCGCTCCATTTTTTAATTTTCTATTCGAATTTCGAACCGAATTCGAATTATTCCGAAAAAAGTGAAAAACAATTGGGTCAAATGTAGAAAACGATGCGATTCGGTCAGGAAATTTTGTTTTCGTTTTCAACCCTAGTTCCATCAACCTCAAAAAGTTATGGAAAAAATGATTGGATAATCGAGAACCCTACTTTCAAGTTTTGTCCAACCAAATCTACTGAGTTTTGGAATGTCTAAAAATTTTATTGTTTCTTTGTGAACCCTGACCACATATCTCTTCCAGTGTACACAAATATAGAGAGATATTAGTGAGCACAATATCTATAATGGCATACTACCAAGAGATTTTTGACCTCATTATGATATTATGTTTATACTGTCCTTTTATTTTCATATATTGTTGTTATAAGGGCATCCGCAACGGTCATTAAAACCATTCGTTTAAATGCTCTTTTAACGTTCAAAACAATGTGAGTGCGTTCATTTAATGGTGTAAATTAAAGGTCCCACCACTGTCGTTCATACCATTGAACGGCTATTTGCAACTTTTTTTTATTTTTTTTTTTTATTTTTTTTTTCTTCAGCCGTCACTTGCAAGCATTTTTTTATTCTCCTTTTGTCCTTTTTTTTTTTTCAACGGCTGTGCAAGTCTTTTTTGTTCTTTTTTTATTTAATGTTACTTCAATTATTTTTGTATCCGTTTAGTTTTTTTTCAAGTCCATCCGTTAAGCTTTTTTTTTTATACTTTCTATCATTATTTTTTTGTCTATAAATATATCTCATTCTTACATTAAGTAGGTTATATTTCATTTATCTCATTTTTACCTTAGTGTACTGCATGGCAGCACATGACCAGCTCTATCTTTGTTTTCTAGCATTTCTCTCGTGATGTACCTTGCATGGGCTGTTGTCCACGTGTAATTCTCTCATTGGTAGCTAAATTAGGGTTCTGTGGAGGCTGGCCTATAAAAGCCTTGTACAAGGTATCAGCCGCTAGAGACATCAATTATTTTTCTGCATGAAAGAGACTTCACCTTGTTCTTGAAATTCCAAAAAGCTATGTTTGAATCTCCAATGAATTCTTGTGACTTTCCATTTCAATCATGGTATCAGAGCCCGGGTTCTTAACCTGAGCCTGATTTACCATATCAAGTCTTTTTCATTTATTATTCTTGTCCCTATCCTTTTGATCTTTTCAGTCATGGCAGATTCTTCCTCAAGCCATACAAACAACCTTGTTCAACCTCATCATCAACTAGTCTCCATCAAACTCACAGATACCAATTTTCTTCTCTAGAAACAACAAGTTATCACTGCCATTAAAGGCTATGGGCTGGAAAGCTTCATCTCAAAAGAAAGCTCAGCACCACCTCAAACAACAGTCTCAGAAACCACTGCTCAGATCCAAGTGAATCCAGAATACATCACTTGGGTGAGACAAGACCAACTCCTTGCCTCATGGTTGCTCTCCTCCTTGTCTGAAAATCTGCTTGTAATGATGGTAGGAAAGAACTTCTCCCAAGAGATTTGGCAATCACTGGAGTCTAACTTCTCTGGGCAATCAAAAGCCAGACTTATGCACCACAGGCTACAACTCCAAACTCTGAAAAAAGGCAGCCTTCCTATGAGAGAGATTCTTGGGCAAGTAAAATCCTGCTGTGATGCCCTAGGAACAGCAGGTGAGCCTGTGAGTGAGCAAAACCACATTCTACCTATCTTGGGAGGCTTAGGAGCTGAATATAATGCTGTTGTGGTAGTTGTGACAACAAGGGTAGAACCTTACTCTCTAAATGAGGTCTATGCAATGCTACTCAGTCTTGAATCCAGACTTGAGCTTTTCTCATAGAATCCTCAACCTCTGATCAATATTGATGGATCCAACCCTACTGCTCACCTGGTCACCCATAACACAACAACCAATCAGAACAAAGGAGCTGGAAACTCAACCTATGGCAGAGGCAGAGGAAGAGGAAGGAACTACAACACTAGAGGAAGAGGAGGAAGAGGCTTTAGAAACAACTCCAGAATCCCTTGTCAAGTGTGTGGCCTCTCCAATCACACTGCAGACAAGTGCTACCACATATTTGATGCTTCTTACCCAGGACTAACCAACATGCAAGCTCACACAGCCACAACTCAATCCTTCAATGGACAACCACCTCAGTTTCAGCTCAACCAATATGCCAACAGTGATGCTGCCTCTGAAGCAAGCTGGTTTGCTGACTCAGGAGCCTCAAGCCATGTCACTAATGAGCTCTCCAACTTGAGTCTTGCCTCAGAATTCCAAAGGAAACAACAAGCTCCAAGTTGGTAATGGAACAGGTTTGCTCATCTCTCATATAGGAAATTCTTTACTTAAATCCAACACCAGTTCCAAACCTTTGCTACTTAATAACCTGCTCCATGTTCCATCTATTACTAAAAATCTGATAAGTGTATCTCAATTTGCCAAAGAAAACTTGGTGTTTTTTGAATTTCACCCACAGTTTTGTCTTGTGAAGGACCTAGCCACTCATCAAGTTCTTCTCCAAGGATTTCTTAAAGATGGACTCTACATGTTTGCCAACCAAAGCTTCAAGCCTACCACTACTTCTCCAGTTACTTCAACCTGCAATCAGACTAATCCTAGCTCCTTTATGGTTTCTTGTAATAAAACTGCCAATCTAGAACTGTGGCACTCTAGATTAGGCCATGCAGCCTTAGATGTTGTTGCCAAAGTTATGAATGATTGTAAGGTTCCCTTTGCTGCTAATGAAAAGTTTTTATGTTCTTCATGTCTGCAAGCTAAAAGTCATGCCTTCCCTTATATTGCTTCTAACACTCACTACACCAAACCCCCTTGAACTTATACACACTGACCTATGGGGACCCTTCCCCCTCACTTCAAAATCTGGCTCACATTACTATGTATGCTTTGTTGATCATCACACTCGGCTCACTTGGATATACTTCCTTAAACAAAAATCTGAAGTTCATGATGTGTTTGTTCACTTTAAAAACCTTGTTGAAAATCAACTTAACCACAAAATTAAAGCAGTCCAAAGTGACTTGGGAGGTGAGTTCAGACCCCTTACAAACCTATTTAATGCAGCTGGTATACAACACAAAATTTCATGCCCTTACACACCAGCTCAAAATGGCCTTGCTGAGAGGAGACATAGAACTATAGTTGAAATGGGCCTTGCTCTTTTAACTCATTCCCATGTTCTTCTTAAATATTGGGATGATGCCTTCAACACTGCTGTTCACATCCTCAATAGACTTCCTGTTAAAAGCCTGAAATTCATCTCTCCCCTAGAAAAACTCTATGGCCACAAACTCACCTACAGCCACCTCAAGATCTTTGGATGCCTCTGCTTCCCAAATCTCAGACCCTATAACAGGCATAAATTAGAACCAAGATCCTAACCTAGCACCTTTCTGGGATATAGCTCCAAACACAAAGGCTTCAAAGCTCTTCTTCCTAGTGGCAAGGTCATAATAACCAGGGACATTGTTTTTGATGAACTAAAATTTCCTTTTTCCAAACCACCTACCCCAACAATGCCTCCTTCAGACTCTCAGTCACCATCATTCACTCATCTTACCCCACCACCAATTCTTCAAACAACTTTTCCCACCTCCAATGAAACTACTGCATCTAACAACACTCAACCTTCATCTCCAACCCCACCTTCTCCTCATAACTCCCCAACTTCTTCCTCATCCACTACTCAGTCCACCTCTCAGACTAATTCCCTTTCCTCTCATTCCACTATACCCCTAGTAGTAGAATTGCCTATTGAGAGTGAACATATATCTGCTTCTACAACTAACAATGCAGGTACCACTGATCACAGACACCACATGGTTACCAGGTCAAGGACTGGTAATCTCAAGCCAAGAGTTTTTCTTACAACTGATCTGGACTCCAACATCCCACAATCCTATCAACAAGCATTGTCTCATCCAAAATGGAAAGCTGCCATGTTCAGTGAGTTTGATGCCCTTACTGCCAACCAGACATGGGATTTAGTGCCCTTGCCACCCCTTAAACCTCTCATTGGCTGCAAATGGATTTTCAGGCTTAAGCACCATGCTGATGGCTCAATTGCCAGATATAAGGCAAGACTTGTTGCCAAAGGGTACAATCAAACAGCTGGCATTGACTTTAATGACACATTTAGTCCAGTTGTAAAGCCTACTACAATCAGAGTAGTTCTTTCTCTTGCACTAAATTACAACTGGAAAGTTAGACAACTTGATATCAATAATGCTTTCCTCCATGGCAGCATTCAAGAAGAACTCTACATGTCTCAACCCCCAGGCTTTGAAACTTCAACATCATGTCCCTTGGTTTGCAAACTTAAAAAGTCTCTCTATGGACTCAAACAAGCCCCAAGGGCTTGTTCATTAAACTACAGGGAGTCTTACAAAATCTGGGCTTCATTCACTCCATCTCTGATCATTCTTTATATATCAAACATGCTGCTCACTCTACCATTTGGCTTTTAGTTTACATTGATGACATCTTAGTCACAGGCAGCATTGATTCAGAAGTCCAAGATGTCATTAATCAACTGAGCAAGTTCTTTTCTTTAAAAGACCTGGGTGAAATTCACCATTTTCTAGGGATTGAAATCAAAAGATCTCCTGAAGGTCTCTTTTTATCTCAAGCTCAATATATCAAAGACATTCTACTGAGGATGAACATGCTTGATGCTAAATCAGTCTCAACACCTATGGTCACATCACCAATTCTGTCCAAGCAAAATGGCTCTCCTATCAAAGACATCTCAGCCTACAGGAGCTTAATTGGATCACTACAATATGCAACCATCACTAGACCGGATATTGCCTTTAGTGTTAACAAAGTTTGCCAATATATGCAGTCCCCTCTTGACACTCATCTCAAGGCCGCAAAAAGGATCCTTAGATACCTTGCTGGGACACTAGACTATGGCCTTCATTATACTAAACACTCCAGCCCAATATGGTCGGTAGTAGTGGCTCGTGAGGAACCGGGTGTGATCCGGTCATCATTATCAATATGAAGGGGACCGGCTAAGCATTATGGTAGTCGGCGATTGGGAGTGCTCGGCGTCACACGGTGTTCGGCGCCCCTCAAGTGCTCGGCATTGGAGGTGGTCGGGATGAAGTGTCTGGCGCGGCATTGCCCGGTATGATGAGTGCCCGGCGTGGGGTGAATGTTCGGCGTAGGAGGGTGCTCGGCCAAAGGAGGTGCCCGGCGGCCCTCGTACGCTTGGCGGCCCTCGTGTGTTCGGCGGCCCTCGTATGCCGTCGAAGGGGCTAGAACCTGAAGATGGCTTCGGGATCCAGTTACGAAGGAGTTGGTGGCGACAAGGACTCTTGCAATTCGAGATGTTCTTGACCTAATTAACTAGTTCACGCAAGAAAGACTTCTTATTCCACTGGGACTCTCCAATTTTCTCCTATAAAAGGGAGCAGGTTCATTCATTTTACACAACACACATTCACGAACTATCTCGTTACTCTGCCGTTTTCTCTCTAGACCATCACTGACTTGAGCGTCGGAGTGTTCGCGCCGGGACCACCCTCGACGTGCTTTGCAGGTACCGACGATCAGGGAGACGCAACCCGGTTCGAGAGGAGCGGTCCAACGGCTCGATTATTTGTGGTATTACAAATTGGCGCCGTCTGTGGGGATAAATCAGTCTTATACCGAAGTTTTAAGGGCTGTTTTTTCTCACTACAAAAGAAGAACGATAGAAGTCATGGCAGAAGATAATTCGAAGAAGAACTTGACTAAGGAGATGGATGAGGAGTGGGCTCGGAGGGCCTTCGGGACAGGTCCCCTGCCAGGATGGTCACCATCGCCTGTTACCCCCAAAGAGACACTGTTGGGCCTGGGCGCGACCCCGATACCACCGTCAGAAGCCCAGGGGCGTGCGGCGAACACGGGAGGATCGGGTGGTTTGACAGGCAAGGGGAAGGAGGCTGGCGCCACGGTCGACGGGGGGGTGGATCAAGGAGCCCTGGATCCGGAGGTACTGGTGATCAGAACGGTTCCCTCGGTGGTAGGCAGTTGGTCGAGGTGGGAGCACAAAACCCTCCGGGAGACAATGTTTCTTCAGCACCACCGGAGGACCCGGTCATCCAGATGACCAGGTCGGAGTTGGACAGGATTATTGCAGAAGCGATAGGCCGGGCTCAGGAGGTGGATAAGAGAGCTCCTAATGAGTCATTTAAACAACCTCCGCCACGGCAGCCACTAGCACCTCAACAACAGGTCCCCTTGCATCAGCAGCACCAGCGTGCGGAGACGGGCGACAAGGATGATGCCAGGTCGGTGACCTCCCGCCCGGTGGCAATGACACAACCGGAGGGGGTGACTTTGGAGAGGTTGGCGGCTCAAATGCGGGAACTCCAAGCCCGGGTGCAGGGTAAGAGACCTGTGGTTTCGCGGGGACACCCTTTTGCAGAGGATGTCCTAAGAGGGGACTTGCCTAGCAACTTCAGGGAGTTGAGCTTGTCCTATGATGGGTCGGCGGACCCAGCCAGGCACTTGAGATCATTCGACAACATAGCTGTGCTGCACAGGTATAGTGATGTTGTGTGTTGCCGGGCCTTCTTGACGACATTAAAGGGGTCCGCACAGGATTGGTTCCATCAGTTGCTAGCAGGATCTATCGATTGCTTTGAGAGGTTCAGCTCGTTGTTTCTCAATCAGTTTGCAATTGCCCGGAAGCACGAGAAGACGTACCTCTCGTTGATTAATATGCAACAAAAGGAAGGGGAGACCTTGCGGCAATATGTAGCGCGATACACTAAGGAATGCGTGGAGGTCCCTTCTGCCTCGGAAGAAGTCAAAGCTGGAGGCCTTACTCGAGGATTGAGGCCTGGAAAGTGTAGAGATTCATTGGCGAAGAGGCCGGCAAGGTCCTTTGATGAGCTGCTTGAAAGGTGTAGCAAATATGTGAACATGGAGGAATCGGAGGCGGACTTCATCCGGAATGATAAAGTAAAGGCTAAGCAGCCAGAAGAGAGGCCTCGACAGAGTGATCGGCGAGCTGCCCCTAAGGAGTCTCGGGTTGAGGACCGGTTCAGGGGGCCGAGGTATGAGCACTACAAACCACTTAATTCTCCAAAGCAGGAGATCTTGGAGATGATGGAGAAGCGGGGGGAAGATAAGCTGCTCGCGCAGCCGAAGCCTTTGCCTCCTCCACGAAAATTTTTGGCATCAAAAGACAAGTATTGTCAGTACCACCGAGACTATGGTCACTCTACTAACTTTTGCCGAGAGTTGAAGGATGAGATTGAGCGGCTCATTAGAGCCGGTCCTTTGAAAGAGTTCATGATCAGGGATAGAGAGCGCCAAGAAGATTGCCGGGAAGGGCGCGAATCGGGGGACAAGCGGCGGAGGATTGATGAACAGCCTGACAGACCGGTAAAGAAAGGTGTCATACATATGATTGCGGGAGGTCCTACGGATGGAGACTCACATAGAGAGAGAAAGAGGACCTACCGGGGCAAGGGTGTGGCTCATGAGGTGGCTGAGGTACAGGTGCAGAGGAGCTTGGCCACTTTGAAATTTGGAGTTGATGATGTGACAGGGCTTGTCATCCAACACAATGATGCCTTGGTCATCACCGCGGAGGTAGCCAGTTACGATGTGCAGAGGGTACTTATAGACACCGGGAGCTCGGCAGACATCATTTTCCTTAAGTGCTTGCAACAGATGGAGTTAGACGTGAAGGTCGAGCCGGTCCACACTGCCCTCTATGGCTTCAGTGGTAGTGAGGTTCATCCCATTGGTGAAGTTAGTTTGACGGTGGCATTGGGAAGGTCGCCTTTGAGGAAGGTGAAGATGGTTCGTTTCTTGGTCGTGGGTGCGAGTTCGGCCTATAACATCATACTGGGGCGGCCTAGTTTAAATTCATTCCAAGCAGCAATCTCTACTTATTGTATGAAGATCAAGTTCCCCGTGGGGGATGAGGTTGGGGAGGTGACTGGAGATCAATTGCAATCTCGGCGGTGCTATGAGGTCACATTGAAAACGGCTGAGGTGCAGCATAAGAAGAAGAATGACGACCTACCGGAGTGCTCCCGTCGGGAGAAGAAGCAAGAGTTAGGAATTAGCTCTCAGGACGAACTGATGGAAGTTGAGCTGATAGAAGGTAATCTGGAGAAGATAACATAGGTAGGACGTCACTTAGCGGGTGACCTTCAAGGCGCGTTGATTGCACTATTGAAGGAGTTTGTGGATGTCTTCGCCTTTTCAGCTGACGACCTCACAGGGATCGATCCCGGGGTAAGGGAGCATAGGTTAAATATTGACCCAACTGTGAGACCGGTGAAACAGAAGAGAAGGCACTTTGGTGCCGAGTTAGACGTGGTTATTGAGGCAGAGGTGGAGAAGCTGTTGAAGGCAGGGCATGTACAACCTATTCAGTTCCCGGAGTGGTTGTCCAACTCAGTTATGGTGCGCAAGGGGGAAGGAAAGTGGAGGATGTGTATAGACTTCAGGGACCTCAACAAAGCTTGCCCTAAAGATCATTACCCCCTACCACGTATCGACCAGCTCGTCGACTCTACTGTTGGTTGTGAGTTATTGAGCATGATGGACGCCTCCCAGGGGTACCACCAGATCCCCCTGGTCGTGGAGGACCAAAAGAGAGTTAGCTTTGTGACATCTAAGGGTACCTACTGCTACGTTGTCATGCCTTTTGGATTGAAGAACGCGGGAGCTACTTATCAGCGGTTGGTGGATCAGATGTTCAAAGGGCAAATAGGGCAGAACATGGAAGTCTACGTCGATGACATGCTAGTGAAGAGCAAGAAAGCGGACGATCATGTGGTGGACCTGCGCGAGACACTGAACACTTTGCGACGATATGGAATGAAGCTCAACCCGACTAAGTGTAAGTTCGGGGTACGTTCGGGAAAATTCTTGGGCTATCTGGTAACGGAGAGGGGCATCGAAGTCAACCCGCAGAATGTGCGGGCTGTCATCGAGATGCAACCACCAAGGAACTTGAGAGAGGTGCAGATCTTGGCCGGGCGCCTAGCGGGGTTGAGCAGGTTCATCGCTCAATCCGCTGAAAAGAGTTTTCCATTTTTTAAGGCATTGAAGAAGGGGTCGCGGTTCGAGTGGACGTCTCAGGCGCAACATGCATTCGAAAGGTTGAAAGAGTTCTTGGCTGAGCTCCCCCTACTTACAAAGCCGGAGCCTGGCGACACTTTAGTTGTATACTTATCGGTGGGGCACGAGGCCATCAGTTCTGTATTGATAAAGGAGGAGCATGGGCAGCAGAAACCAATATATTACGCAATTTGGATATTGCAAGGGGCCGAGCGCCGATACTCAGATGTGGAGAAGGCCGCCTTGACACTCATCTCCACTGCTCGAAAGTTGCGCCCCTACTTCCTAGTGCATAAAGTCATGGTGTGAACCAACTATCCACTCAAGGATACTATGGGTCATCCTTCGGCCTTGGGAAGGATGGTGAAGTGGGCAGTGGAGTTAGGCGAATACAATGTTGACTTCGAGGTCCGAAAAGCTATCAAGGCGCAGGCGTTAGCCGATTTCATACAAGAATGCGCACTGGGAGATGAGAAGGGACCATGGATGGTGTATGTCGACGGCTCGTCGGCCGTAGGAGGAGCGGGTCTCGGCATCTTGGTGGTCGCGCCCGAGAAGGATCATTTGGAGTTCGCGGTGAAACTCTCGTTTAGGGTGTCGAATAATGAAGCGGAGTACGAAGCCCTCATCAAGGGGATCCAACTCGTTTTGAAGGAAGGAGCCCGACAAGTAATCATTCATTCGGACTCTCAGCTGGTGGTCGAACAGGTCAGAGGCGAGTATGAAGCTAAGGAGGAGCGCATGAAAAAGTACCTGGTGGAGGTCCATGCGATGTTAAAAGGATTCGCGACTTGGGAATTGATACAGATACCGCGGGGGGAAAATGGTAGGGCCGACCTACTCTCGAAGGTGGCCGCATCGCTTGTGGATTGTCGATCTCGGTCGGTGACGTTGATGGATATGACCAGAAGTACTTTAGACCAAGTGCTAGAGGTTGAAAAGCAAGAGGATTGGAGGTCGCCCCTAATACAGTGGTTGCAAGAGCCGGTGGTTGGAAAGGATATCAGGGACGACCCGGTTGGAAGGAGAGCACTAAGGTTCTATCTGCAGAATGGGATCTTATATAAGCGGTCGTACATAGGGCCCCATCTAAGGTGCGTCACAGAGCAGGACGGGGAGTACGTGCTGAGGGAGGTACATGAAGGATGTTGTGGTGATCACTTGAAGGCTAGGGCGTTGGTCGGGAAGGTACTCCGGGCCGGATACTTTTGGCCTAAGATGAGGACGATGGCACATGATCTCGTGCGCAGGTGTAAGAGGTGTCAGCAACACGGTCCATTGATACATAAAGCGGCTGAGAACATGGTCCCGATTAGCTCGCCTCTACCTTTTACTCAGTGGGGGGTCGACATAGTCGGACCTCTGCCCCAGGCGACGGGCCAGCGAAAGTTCCTCATTGTGGCAGTGGACTACTTCTCCAAGTGGATTGAGGCCGAGCCCTTGGCAACGATCACTGAAGAAAGGGTGATGAAGTTTCTGTTCAACAACATATGTTGTCGGTACGGCATCCCTCGAGTGCTTATATCTGATAATGGTACTCAGTTTAGAGGTCGGCGTACAATGAGTTCGTGTGAAGAGATGGGCATCAAACAACAGTTTGCCTCGGTCGCCCACCCCCAAGCGAATGGACAGGCTGAGGTCGCGAATAGATCAATCCTAAATGGGTTGAAGGCGAGATTGGAGAGGGTTTCAGGTGCTTGGGTAGATGAACTTGATTCGGTGTTGTGGTCATATCGGACAACACCAAGGACTTCAACGGGGGAGATGCCGTTTAGTCTAGTGTATGGCATGGAGGTAGTCATCCCGGTGGAGATCGGCCTCAACTCGGAGTGGGTGAGCACTTACGCGGAAGAAGGGAATGTCGAGCTCCGTAGGGAGACATTGGACCTGGTGGACGAGCTACGTGACCAGGCGAGTCCAAGGACAACCGCTTATAAGCAGCGGATGAGGGCGTCCCATGACAAATCGGTTTGAGCTCGTCGATTCCAAGTAGGGGACCTGGTCTGGCGCCAGGCTGATGCCCTGAAGCATGTTGGGAAGCTGGAACCGAACAGGGAGGGGCCCTATACTGTTGAGAGGGTATTCGCGGGGGCTGCCTATGAGCTTCGTGATGTTGAGGAGCGGCTACTACCCCGACCGTGGAGCATATCCCACTTGAAGAAGTATTATGCATAGCTAGAGACATGTTATCTTTCTTTGCTTTTAGTTGTTATTTAATTATGTTTTCGTGAGACGAGTAATAAAGTTGCATTTGAAGTTTTTCAGCTTAACTCTCTTCTTGTGTGATGTGTTTAAGGGTGATAACCTGGCAAGTCTCGCCTAAGCTCGCGGAGCTAGGTGACGACCTCTTTAGGGTGAAAGCCTGGCAAGTCTCGCCTAAGCTCGCGGAGCTAGGCGACGACCTCTTTAGGGCGAAAGCCTGGCAAGTCTCGCCTAAGCTCGCCGAGCTAGGCGACGACCTCTTGAGGGCGAAAGCCTGGCAAGTCTCGCCTAAGCTCGCGGAGCTAGGCGACGACCTCCTTAGGGCGAAATCCTGGCAAGTCTCGCCTAAGCTCGCTGAGCTAGGCGACGACCTCTTTAGGGCGAAAGCCTGGAAAGTCTCGCCTAAGCTCGCGAAGCTAGGCGACGACCTCTTTAGGGCAAAGTCCTGGCAAGTCTCGCCTAAGCTCGCGAAGCTAGGTGACGACCTCTTTAGGGCGAAAGCCTAGTAAGTCTCGCTTAGGCTCGTGAAGCTAGGCGACGACCTCTTTAGGGCGAAAGCCTGGTAAGTCTCGCTTAGGCTCGTGGAGCTAGGCGACGACCTCTGTGATTGACGAGGTCATCGCGTAAGACTGAGAATGAGAGTCTTGGAAGACTTAGCAATAGTTGTGCTAGGTGCAAAAGCCCGTGGTCACAATGTTAAGTGCTTCTAGGACTTGGTGAATGAAGAGGTGTGGTTACTTGTACAAGATAAGTTATGTAAGTGTGAACAATTGAAACAAACAAACAACACAATAAAAGCAAAGTATCGAACGAGTTCACGGTCACATGCCCAAATAAAAAAGTTCGTGCAAGAATAAAGGGTTCGTGGCTACGTGCCGACATAACAAAGGAGATAATCTAGAGAGAGGTTCCATGTAACCGAGTCGATAGAGAAACAAAAAGCCATGAACGAGTGGCACAGGTAGATCTAGGAGGGGAGTGCGTTGTCCTCCGACTCGGGGATCCTCTCCACCTCTAGGCCGACGGAAGTGGCGATGGCCTTCGCGGCGGTCTCCAGGGCCGACTCCCACCAAGGATGAGTGGACGGGAGGGTCGGGTCGCCGTTCCACCCCGCGGGGGTAGGGAGGCCAGTCATCATCTCAAGCTCCTTCGCCTCATCCACGACGATAGCGGTCCCTGCCTCTTTCACCCTGGCCAGGGTTTGGTGGATCCCCTCGTGGAAGTACAGGCAGCAGGTTGTGCATATCCTCTTAAGATAGGCCCTGGAGTCATGGTACCTTGATAGCAGCTCGCGTCGGTACCGCTCGACGAAGTGACATCCGAGTTCGGATGCTAAGAAGGAAGTCAGTCCCTCGGCCCGGGCGTGGGCATGCGCTCATCCACTGATGAGCGTAGCTCCTCGAGCTCGGCATCCTTGGCCTTGAGCTGGGCATCCTTGTCCTCGAGTTC